TTCAGTTCTGTTTAGTGCCTAATTAGAGTTCAAACAAGTCTATTTTGATGAATTAAAACTGCTTAAGTGCTTAGTTTTCATCTAGAGCTGTTGTTGTTTAATTTTGAATCTCAAACCACCAATTTTTGGGTCTTTGTTTGAGTCCAATTTTTGGATGCTTTATTTTATTTTGAAATTGAAGAAACAACCATGAAACACAGGTGGAGACTAATAGGAAATCTCCAAACACAACAATTTAAGACCTAAAACTAGGAACTAAACTAGTAAAAGAAAGGTAAAAACTAACCTAAATTCGAAATTGACCTAAACTAGCCTAAGAATATGTAGTCTTCATATCCTAACAAGTTTAAACTTGTTAAATGAAGCTAACAAGATACTATAGATGGTTGAAGTACCTAAAATTCAAAATCACACTACTTCAAACCTAAAAAGTGTACTTAAAAGGTGACAAAATGCTAATTGACCTAAAGTAGACTCATTCTAAGATATGTAAACATCCTAACAAGTCTAAAGTAGTGGAATCAAGGNCGAGTGGGAGGAAAAGGACTTTGGATTGGTATACAATGTCGTCCTCGAAAGAAGAAACAAATTGCGTCAAAGAATAAAAAAGGAGCACCGTACTTTAATCAGACTTAATGATACGTGGGGGACTTGAACCCTCAAGAATTTGACTTGGGGGAATTTGGAGTTGGAAAGTATTGCATAAACTCTGGATGTCTTGAAAGAGTTTGAAAGTACCAAAGGGCTTGTGTAGAATTTGAAATCAAAATTGCAGAAAGAAGAATCTGAAGCGAAATTGAATTCCTAAACGAGTGTGTGCAATGATGTGTTCAAATTCAATGATTCAATTTCAATCCAACCTCAGAATTATTCAATAGAGGAATCAACTTACCTCGATAACCAAATGCTTGACGATGCCACACTCTGCAGACCACCACCCCTACGAAATTAACAACCCCACTTCACCCTAACGTCGTCGTCAAGCCAACCTCCACGACCCACCACCACTGCCGCAAACGCCAACTACCACGACCGCAAACGCCACGAAGCCTAGCTACCCAAACCGCAAAGCAGCAGCCACCAACGAACACACCTCACCGTCAAACAGAACAGTTACACGAGAACGCCTTATGGCAAGCAAATTGGCACTCCCAAAACCCAAGCAACTTCTGATATTTGGCTTAAGGCAAGCGCGAGCGACAAACGAGGGTAGGGGATTTCTAAAATTGGGGGAAGGAAACCCAAATTATTTACTCAAATCCATCGCATATTATCGAAGGTCTCGAGCCCTCGGTAAATTATTTCACCAATTCATTAACGAAGGATTAGAGCCTTCGGTAAATGTCGTCGGTAAATGTCGTCGGTAATATATAAAGTGATTTGTGCTAAACAAAACATAACATTATGAATGTTGTGTACTTAGGGAATCCAAAAGTGAGTCTAAGTTTCATATTATATAGAAATGAGAAAATAAAATACTATATAAAAATGAAAAACTTATTAACTCATTATCTTAAGGTTTTGGGTAAAGAATAATGTCAATTCTTTATATGGTTAGATGTTTGAGTCTCTTCGATAAACCTCCTTCTTGATAAATCCAACAGTGACATCAGAGCTGATAGTTCGTCTTAATGAACGACTCAGACGAGTATAATAGTCCCTATATCGAAAGTCTTAGTATTCAAATCTTAAGTTGAATCATGAAGAAGAACATTAAAATAAGACATCAAAGTTAATAGAAAAACTAATAAAAATTTAGGAAGTCATAAGAAAAGGGAATAAAAGAACCTTTGAAAAAAAAAGGGACAAAATACTTTTAGTTTATGGGATTCTATATCCTTTTAGCTAGAAGAAGAGTACTAAGAAAGATGTTATAAAGATAATTTCATACTAACGAGGATATAACCGAATAAATAATTTTAGGAACTTCTTTTATAATTCATATTATTTCTTCAAAGTCTCTAAAATAGCAATATAGACACTTAATAAATTATTAGAATTCATCAAACCAATAAGGCCTAAGGAAATAAATAAAAAAATATACTAAGGAAATGAAAGAAGAAAGCTTCTTACATGGAGGAGACATTTCAAAATTAGCAATTATTAATAGATCAATTGGATCAATCACATATTAGGATATTATTGGATGAGTTATAAACATTTAGACCACAAAATTTATGATTGCGGTGCCTAAATGGTCCCTTCTCTGTATAAGATTTTCATATTGAATTGAAGTGGTCCAAGTGAAAAAGACCCCATGAATGAACTCCCTTCAACTTGCTTTTCTCTTTCTCCTCCATTTTCTAAAGAACTTGTGAATCAAAAGTGTTGAGGTTAATCGTCTGTAATATCAACAACCCTCTTTCTGAAATTTTCTTAATTATTTTCTTGTCTTACTTTGCTTTCTTTTCTTCTTTATTATGTATTGTTTGTCTGCTTGTTGAATCTTTGATTGGTTATTGAAAACTTAGATATGATTTGAATTGATCAATACATTAGAGGAATTAATTATCTCCTGGATTATAGAATTCAATGTGAGGAGAATTAATCGGGTGATGGAAGTATAAAAAAAGTTAAACGTATGAAAGACTATTAATGATAACTATACTTGTAAATAAAATCTTATTATATGTTCATTGAAATAACTAATAAGTAGAGATGAAATAAATAACTCATATCTTAACTAAAGGTTTACACTTCAAATTTTTATCTGAAATTTGTTAACTTAACATTTAAAATCTTTCAATTGAATTTAAAATAACTTATAGATGTACGAGCTAGATCTAAAATATCATAGAAGGTAATAATGAAGGTCATTTTAGATGGTACTATATATAAATAACGATGAATTTTGAATTAATTTTTAAAATATATTAATTTTAAAATACAAAAAATTAAAAAAATAGATAAACATATAAATTTGACATAATTGTAGAAAATAAAAATGAATGTTCTCAAGATAATATCATTAAGATTAATTATTGTACTAAAAATATTTATCTATTTTAAAGTTTGAAATTTTTTTGTCACTATCTTTAAAAAATATTAAAAAAGAACTTAATAAAATGTATTTAAATTAAAAACAATTACAAATTAAACCATTAAATTTGTAGAAGGTTTCCATGTAATGAAGAGGAAGGAGCGTGAAGGTCGTGGCACGGACCCTATTATGAATTTATTTGTGTCCAATCAACTTTATTCGAGGTGCCCGATGAAGACAAAAGAAGAGTTGGTGAGCACGTGGGAATTTCATTGAACTAATTTTCAAATAAAAANATTTGTGCCATATTTGGAACATGCAAAGTGAATATGAGTTTCAGTTCTGTTTAGTGCCTAATTAGAGTTCAAACAAGTCTATTTTGATGAATTAAAACTGCTTAAGTGCTTAGTTTTCATCTAGAGCTGTTGTTGTTTAATTTTGAATCTCAAACCACCAATTTTTGGGTCTTTGTTTGAGTCCAATTTTTGGATGCTTTATTTTATTTTGAAATTGAAGAAACAACCATGAAACACAGGTGGAGACTAATAGGAAATCTCCAAACACAACAATTTAAGACCTAAAACTAGGAACTAAACTAGTAAAAGAAAGGTAAAAACTAACCTAAATTCGAAATTGACCTAAACTAGCCTAAGAATATGTAGTCTTCATATCCTAACAAGTTTAAACTTGTTAAATGAAGCTAACAAGATACTATAGATGGTTGAAGTACCTAAAATTCAAAATCACACTACTTCAAACCTAAAAAGTGTACTTAAAAGGTGACAAAATGCTAATTGACCTAAAGTAGACTCATTCTAAGATATGTAAACATCCTAACAAGTCTAAAGTAGTGGAATCAAGGTAGGAAAGTAGTGAAATGCAAATAATAACCTAAAACTCAAAGTTTGAGTATTTAGGTCCTAAAAAGTGTGCTTAAAAGGTGAGAAATTGCCAATTTACCTAAAGTGACTTGAAAGAAAATTACAGTGACTTGAGAACCGAGTTTACAAACTTCAAGTTCCTAGTCATGAGAGCGCTGCTTGATGCTTCAAACATTGATTCCAATGTCCCTCCGACCTAGCCACAACCTTCTCTGTCACCCGTCGTCCCTCAGTAGCCCACATCAATCCAACCTACATCAGTCTAGCCCACACCAGTCCAGCCATCTATAGAGCAACAGGATGATGAAGATAATTCTGATGATGATTATGTAGATTATTAGTTTATTTTGTTATTGAACATATAGTTGTTAGAACATTTGGATGTTAGAACATTATGTTTCATGTCTAGATGATATTATTTTATGTTTCATTTATAAATAGAAGTTCTTAAATTTGAAGAATACAAATGATGTTATAAAGTTGTTTTTGTCATTAATGATTGGATGATTTTGGGATGCATATTATGGTGGTCTGTCTGTGGTTTGAAAATATTATGCAGATCTGTCTGTGTTGTGAACATTTTGTGGAGGTTTGTTTGGTTGGATAAGAAATGCAAATATGATTTAGTTTTGCCTGGATCATACCGAAGGCTACTGCCTTTCGGTAATTACCGAAGGACAAAGGCTGTCGGTAAATGTTAGCGATAAGGGGACAATGTGCTTATAGTTTCCGAGGGATTGTGGTTGTTGCCGTCGGTAAAAGGTCATTATAGACGGTTTATGGTTGTTTTCGAGGGATTGTGGCCTTCGGTAATACCCTTCTTTTTTTGTAGTTTTCATTAAAACATTCATTAAAGGAGACAATGTGCTTATAAAGAATAAATGTCATCTATCAAGACGTCGATCAAGAAATAACACTACTTATTGATGTGCACACAATAAAGTAAATGTGATCTATCAAGACATCCATCAAGAAATAAATATGGTTTATCAAGGTGTCCATTCAGAAGTTATGGATGGCCTATCAAGGCACCCAAAAAGAAATAAGTTATATTTATATCGGTTATCCAACCACACTGCATAAACATTTAACATTCAGCGAGAAGTCCATATCAAGTTAAAGGGTAAAAGAATCACTGAACTACATTTAAAATCATTAGCAAATTGTAATACAACTGGTAATGCGATGAACTCTGTAATTTCCTTTCAAGTTAAATCATTTTTCGAAACATATCTCTTGAAGAAGGTACTAATGAATGTAATCTTTTGTCATTCAACAAAGAACAAAGTATGATTCTTAAATTCCAATACATATATCTCCAGAAGAAAAAAGGCTACGAATTATAAAATGTAACTGTAAATAGAAAGCTCTTATGAATCGTCATTTACATTCTTGGCAATCTTCAAAAGAACGACTTCAATCTGGTGAAATTGAGTGAGAATACCGAACAGGGATTCTCCAACTAGGCAAACTCGTAGCTGGTTATGTACGCATTTCCCCCAATATGTACATCAGGAAAAGCACAACCAGAAATGGCAACAAGGAACATGCCAAAAAGAATTCAAATGTATAGGCTGCTTTAAATGGAACAATTGACAGCGTTTGTAGAACTGTAAAACTAGTAGCAATCACATTCTCTGCTCCATAAAAGTGGTATATAACATAGTCAGTAGATAGAACTAAAAGTTATTTTTATCAGCACCATTTTCACTAAACAGATTATATAAAACGAGGGAAGAAAACAGAAAGAAAGGGCTTGATTACTTGGAAATGTAGCTCCTCCAACGAGGTCTATTTGGATGTTAGGAGGTAGAGAACGCATCTCTGATCTTTTCAAATATGCCAATACTTCAAGAACAATTGCTGCAGTAACCATAATACCAAAAAAGATCAATGCAAATATTTGAATTTATCATTAAAGTTAGTTAAAATTGTACTTCTCATAGTGCTATATAAAAAGACTGGACATATTAGGGTTCAGTTTGGATAAACTTTTTAAAAATATAAACTTTTCCATTTTAGATTCTCCAAAAGTTAATTTGAACCTAAACATAAATTACCTTAATTAACTTATTTTTCTTAATTCCTTTTGCTATCATAATTTATATAGAAAATTATCTAGACAAGGTTAGATATGGATCAGTGACAACCTGAAGAATAGTTAGTACAAGGGCAAAGATGCCTATGCCTCTGTGAGCTTATATATGGGCATGCATTTTGGAATAGAGTTGTAATCCAAGAAGGATTGTACTAAGCCCAAATGTGAATCCCACAAACTGAATGATTGCATGGAGATAGAGCCATAAGGGATCGTTGTGCCTGAAATATCGAGCAATAATTGCCCCTACAGGCAGGATCAGACCCCACCCTATTATGCCCAAAATTCCATGTTTCGTTCTCATCTGAGTCAATTCATGGGATACATGACCCGTACAACCTGTCAACGTATAGTTCATCAAGTTTATGCACTCAAAAGGTTATACATCACAGAATGTCATGCTTCATCATGCAGAGTTATATATATATATATAAAAAAGACACCAGTTTAGATAAAATACTTTTCTGCTTCAACTGCTGAATGTGGTAATTTTGAGTTGAAATATAGTATTCTATTATGTGGTTCACTAAAATGAGGTTTATGCAGAAAGATCTGAGAGAAATCCTATTTGGAATTGGAAGGAAACAATTGTCACTATGTGCAACAAATTATAAAATGACATATCTACTTAAACTACTGTTAAAAGTAATAGATAAACGATTCCAGCCAGACCTGTAGAGAAATCAAACACAATTGTTGTTTTGTCTTCATGGTTGGAGAGGTGGTGGTTCTGTGGATATTTACTGCCAAAGGCCAACAGAATTGGCTGTTTCTGAAATGGGGTTTGTATTTGTTAANATATCTCTTGAAGAAGGTACTAATGAATGTAATCTTTTGTCATTCAACAAAGAACAAAGTATGATTCTTAAATTCCAATACATATATCTCCAGAAGAAAAAAGGCTACGAATTATAAAATGTAACTGTAAATAGAAAGCTCTTATGAATCGTCATTTACATTCTTGGCAATCTTCAAAAGAACGACTTCAATCTGGTGAAATTGAGTGAGAATACCGAACAGGGATTCTCCAACTAGGCAAACTCGTAGCTGGTTATGTACGCATTTCCCCCAATATGTACATCAGGAAAAGCACAACCAGAAATGGCAACAAGGAACATGCCAAAAAGAATTCAAATGTATAGGCTGCTTTAAATGGAACAATTGACAGCGTTTGTAGAACTGTAAAACTAGTAGCAATCACATTCTCTGCTCCATAAAAGTGGTATATAACATAGTCAGTAGATAGAACTAAAAGTTATTTTTATCAGCACCATTTTCACTAAACAGATTATATAAAACGAGGGAAGAAAACAGAAAGAAAGGGCTTGATTACTTGGAAATGTAGCTCCTCCAACGAGGTCTATTTGGATGTTAGGAGGTAGAGAACGCATCTCTGATCTTTTCAAATATGCCAATACTTCAAGAACAATTGCTGCAGTAACCATAATACCAAAAAAGATCAATGCAAATATTTGAATTTATCATTAAAGTTAGTTAAAATTGTACTTCTCATAGTGCTATATAAAAAGACTGGACATATTAGGGTTCAGTTTGGATAAACTTTTTAAAAATATAAACTTTTCCATTTTAGATTCTCCAAAAGTTAATTTGAACCTAAACATAAATTACCTTAATTAACTTATTTTTCTTAATTCCTTTTGCTATCATAATTTATATAGAAAATTATCTAGACAAGGTTAGATATGGATCAGTGACAACCTGAAGAATAGTTAGTACAAGGGCAAAGATGCCTATGCCTCTGTGAGCTTATATATGGGCATGCATTTTGGAATAGAGTTGTAATCCAAGAAGGATTGTACTAAGCCCAAATGTGAATCCCACAAACTGAATGATTGCATGGAGATAGAGCCATAAGGGATCGTTGTGCCTGAAATATCGAGCAATAATTGCCCCTACAGGCAGGATCAGACCCCACCCTATTATGCCCAAAATTCCATGTTTCGTTCTCATCTGAGTCAATTCATGGGATACATGACCCGTACAACCTGTCAACGTATAGTTCATCAAGTTTATGCACTCAAAAGGTTATACATCACAGAATGTCATGCTTCATCATGCAGAGTTATATATATATATATAAAAAAGACACCAGTTTAGATAAAATACTTTTCTGCTTCAACTGCTGAATGTGGTAATTTTGAGTTGAAATATAGTATTCTATTATGTGGTTCACTAAAATGAGGTTTATGCAGAAAGATCTGAGAGAAATCCTATTTGGAATTGGAAGGAAACAATTGTCACTATGTGCAACAAATTATAAAATGACATATCTACTTAAACTACTGTTAAAAGTAATAGATAAACGATTCCAGCCAGACCTGTAGAGAAATCAAACACAATTGTTGTTTTGTCTTCATGGTTGGAGAGGTGGTGGTTCTGTGGATATTTACTGCCAAAGGCCAACAGAATTGGCTGTTTCTGAAATGGGGTTTGTATTTGTTAAACCCTTTTAGTAGACTTTTTTAGGTTCTAAATACTCAAACTTTGAGTTTGAGTGAATTCTTTGATTTTCACAAGTTTCCTAGGTTCATTTCACTACTTTAGATAGAGTTATTGTTTGGTACCTTAATCCAGTGGAACATACAAAGTTTGACTAAATTTAACATGCATTTTTTTTTGCATTCATGCTGATGATGGAAGCCTTGAATGGTGGTCATATGAGCTGCTTGTATTACTGTTAGGGCTGTTACCAAATCCAGAACTTGAAACTTCAGTTCTATCAGTTCGGTAAGTATGTTACACTCCCTCTTAATTAAACTACAAATCATGATCTATTGTGCTCCCAATTTTCTATTTATGAGATTTTATAAGTTAAAGTGATTGAACTGATTTTTTGTCATTTTTCTAAGGTTTAAACACTATTTCAACTCTTTATACAATACCCTTTGGAATTGGTGCTGCAGCAAAGTAACACTACATACATAACATTTATTCTACAAAGCTTAAATGTTACAGTACCTTGACTATATATCTAAACTAACTATCCCGTCCCCTCGATGATTATAGCACAAGGGTTGCAAATGAATTAGGAGCTGGTAAACCACATGCTGCACGTGTTGCTATGTTAGCTGCAATGTCTCTTGCAGTCATCAAGACAAGTGTAGTAAGCACGACACTCTTTGTCTGCCGCCATGTTTTTGGTTATGTCTTCAGTAATGAGAAGGAAGTTATTGATTATGTCACTGTCATGGCCCCTCTAGTATGTATATCTGTTATACTAGACAACATATAAGGTGTTCTAACACGTAACCTTATATCACAAGATTAATAAGTTTATGGTATCTTTAACATTTAATAAATATTTTAATTTGATTCTTATATAAACATTAGATATTGAAAAAGTTTTTGCCAATGTATTTAATAATGCTTTGGTTCAGGAATTGCTAGATGTTGTGGATGGCAACATTTAGGAGTTTATGTAAAACTTGGGGCTTTCTACCTTTGTGGGATTCCAGTGGCTGTAATATTGGCATTTGTGGTGCGAGTGGGAGGAAAAGGACTTTGGATTGGTATACAATGTCGTCCTCGAAAGAAGAAACAAATTGCGTCAAAGAATAAAAAAGGAGCAACGTACTTTAATCATACTAAATGATACGTGGGGGAATTGAACCCTCAAGAATTTGACTTGGGGGAATTTGGAGTTGGAAAGTATTGCATAAACTCTGATGTCTTGAAAGAGTTTGAAAGTACCAAAGGGCTTGTGTAGAATTTGAAATCAAAATTGCAAAAAGAAGAATCTGAAGCGAAATTGAATTCCTAAACAAGTGTGTGCAATGATATGTGTTCAAATTCAATGATTCAATTTCAATCCAACCTCAGAATTATTCAATAGAGCAATCAACTTACCTCGATAACCAAATGCTTGACGATGCCACACTCTGCAGACCACCACCCCTATGAAATTAACAACCCCACTTCACCCCAACGTCGTCGTCAAGCCAACCTCCACGACCCACCACCACTGTCGCAAACGCCAACTACCACGACCCAACACCCTACCGCAAACGCCACGAAGCCTAGCCACCCAAACCGCAAAGCAGCAGCCACCAACGAACACACCTCACCGTCAAACAGAACGGTTACACGAGAACGCCTTATGGCAAGCAAATTGGCACTCCCAAAACCCAAGCAACTTCTGATATTTAGCTTAAGGCAAGCGCGAGCGACAAACGAGGGTAGGGGATTTCTGAAATTGGGGGAAGGAAACCCAAATTTTTTACTTAAATCCATCGTGCACATTATCGAAGGTCAAGAACCCTCAGTAAATTATTTCACCAATTCATTACCGAAGGATTCGAGGCCTTCGGTAAACGCCCGTTGGGCGTGTTTCCTAAGAAGTAGAGAACATCCTGTAAAGCGATTTGTGCTAAACAAAACATAACATTATGAATGTTGCAGTGAGTCTAAGTTTTTGATTATACAGAAATAACAAAGTAGACGAAAAACTCGTTAATTTATTATTTAAGATTTTGAGATTTTGAGTAGAAGGTCACGTCAATTTTTTGTATGATTGAAGGTGTTTAAGTCTCTCCGATAAATCTTCTTTTTGATAAATCCAACAGTTGACATTAGAACTGATAGTTCATAACCGATTAAGACGAATATAACAATTCCTGTACCGAAAGTCCAAACCTTAAAGTGAAATCATGAAAAAGAACATTAAAATAAGACATCAAAGTTAATAGAAAAACTAATAAAGATTTAGGAAGTCATAAGAAAAGGGAATAAGAGAACGTTTGAAAAAAAAAAAGGGACAAAACCCTTTTAGTTTATGGGATTCTATATCCTTTTAGCTAGAAGAAGAGTAACTAAGAAAGATGTTATAAAGATAATTTCATACTAACGAAGATATAACCGAATAAATAATTTTAGGAACTTCTTTTATAATTCATATTATTTCTTCAAAGTCTCTAAAATAGCAATATAGACACTTAATAAATTATTAGAATTCATCAAACCAATAAGGCCTAAGGAAATAAATAAAAAAATATACTAAGGAAATGAAAGAAGAAAGCTTCTTACATGGAGGAGACATTTCAAAATTAGCAATTATTATAGATCAATTGGATCAATCACATATTAGGATATTATTGGATGAATTCATCAAAATTTATGATTGCGGTGTCTAAATGGTCCCTTCTCTGTATAAGATTTTCATATTGAATTGAAGTGGTCCAAGTGAAAAAGACCCCATGAATGAACTCCCTTCAACTTGCTTTTCTCTTTCTCCTCCATTTTCTAAAGAACTTGTGAATCAAAAGTGTTGAGGTTAATCGTCTGTAATATCAACAACCCTCTTTCTGAAATTTTCTTAATTATTTTCTTGTCTTACTTTGCTTTCTTTTCTTCTTTATTATGTATTGTTTGTCTGCTTGTTGAATCTTTGATTGGTTATTGAAAACTTAGATATGATTTGAATTGATCAATACATTAGAGGAATTAATTATCTCCTGGATTATAGAATTCAATGTGAGGAGAATTAATCGGGTGATGGAAGTATAAAAAAAGTTAAACGTATGAAAGACTATTAATGATAACTATACTTGTAAATAAAATCTTATTATATGTTCATTGAAATAACTAATAAGTAGAGATGAAATAAATAACTCATATCTTAACTAAAGGTTTACACTTCAAATTTTTATCTGAAATTTGTTAACTTAACATTTAAAATCTTTCAATTGAATTTAAAATAACTTATAGATGTACGAGCTAGATCTAAAATATCATAGAAGGTAATAATGAAGGTCATTTTAGA